CATACCATTCCCCTTCCTCTTTCTTAATACAAGCAAACACGCACAAAGAAAACCCTAGTGCTTGATATAGGTTTGGGCACACCACAGATGGGTAGTCGACATTCTTTTTCTTCAACCAACCAAGCAACCCTGGCCTTTGAAGGTGAGTCCATTGAACGAGTCACCACTGACTCCGCTCATCACTGTCATTCACCGACTCCTTTTGGTCACGGGCTTCCTCTCTCCTCCAAAGGTTGCCATCCTCCTGGCCTCCTCAAACACCGAGACCTTCGCCTCCAGTCCTTTCCGGTCACTCACTGCCGGGGCCACCTCGCAGACCTGCCCTCCCCTGCAGGTGCATGGAGGAGTCCGGGTGGCTTCGTGGGCGATGTGTTGGGATCGCCTGCTGCTCTCTAAGCCCCAACTGTTCTCTCTGAACGCCAACTCCTCCGAGCGTGCGGCTGGTTCCCCCTGGTGGACAACCGTTGCATGCGCATGCATTGTATTTGGAAGCAACTTCGAGGTGTACTGGTGGTGCAGAGGCTAAGTGGTCACCGAAAGGTCGTCCCCTCCGCTGCTCGGCAGAAGAAAGACGTGGCTGTCTGCCTCCCCAGATTGACAGCCTTGAAATCCTTACGGGGCAGCTCTACTCCGTCCAATCGAGTCACTAGGAGTCAGACCTCACTCCTTGGTGAAAGAACAAGACATGCATTCAGCAGATGTTTCTTGAGCGCCTGTTAGGAGTGTGGCGTATCTGAAACTGCGTGGAGGCTCGGTGGTGCACTGTCACCACAGGTGCGGACATTACACCAAAAAGGTGGTGACAGAGCTTCGTGTGCCTTCTGCCTCTGCCAACGAAGTGCAGCCTGGTTCTCGATTGGGTCCGAGGCTGGCAGAGGTGGAGGGCCACGGCATTCCCACTCTGGAATGCTTCGTTAGTGTACCTGAGGCGAAGCCATTCCCCCCATTAATTTCGTCGATCCATTTCTACTGAGCACCTATCACAGTCCAGGCCCTGAGCTGGGAGAAGAGACAGAGTCAGTCATTGGCCTGGAAACGCTCCGAGGTCTGCGGAGAAGGGCAGAGAGGCAAGTGGTCACCCAGCCACTGTGATGTGCAGAAGTCACTACACACGGTCACCCCACAAACGTGTACGGAGGCCCTAGTAATGTGTGAGGGACTGTGCTCAGGACACAAGGATAAGCGCCACGGCAGCTGCTGAAACTGTGCCCAGTCTACATAACGGACGGCTGCCATCTCGGAGACCGCTGCTCCAGTAGAAGGGGGTATTGGGGTGGGGGAAAGGATTGAGAGAGGGCTGACTTTGAGGGAGGTGGAGGCTGGATCAGGAAGGCCTTAGGCAAGAAATGCTGAAGCAGCGGTCCATGGGTCAGTAGGGGGTGGGCAGGAGACGACGGGGGTCTTAGCATCGCCCCATTTACTCTTCTCTGGGTGGTTGGATTAAAACCCCTTCATATGCTTCTGCTGCCAGGATGCCCCCTTGCTCCAAAGCCAGCGACAATCCCCTGCCGCGGGGTCTGACCTTTACTTAGGCCCCCCCATCCTCCATCCCTTCTCTGGAAACTCCTCCCCAGCTGGGCTCCTCTGCTCCAGCGGGCAATCAATAGTAATTTCCACACAGCTACTTCCAACAAGACCCACACGCTCCTGCAGGGGTCAAACAAATGCAAGATGGTACCGCTGCTGAGGGACCGAGATGACGGACATGCCAGTCCAACACCGCCTCTTAGGGTGGAAGCAAGCCTGCAGACCTTTGCCGCCCTGTCCCGGAATATCACTTGCATATCTGAGTCCTGTACCTGTCTCCTACCTCCGCCCCTCTCAGACTTCTTGGACCCTGGCTCGGCCTCTCACTATGGACACAGAACAGTCTCTCTCCTTACTGATGTGCAGGCCTTTGCTGCTCAATGGGCCTCCCTGGGCTGGCCTTCCTGGCCCTGCCCATTCCTCTGCCATAAGCCATCTCATCCCCACCCGGGCAGTTCCCATCCTACCCATTCTCTCTTCTCTGGTGCCCCAATACCCAGGGAGTCCAGCACATTCTTATTTTGGTGCCCGGACTAAAGGATAGCTCTCCCCACTGGCCTCCATCCTCGTTTCCCCACACAGGCACCCTCCTGCCCAGTTGCTCTTCCCAAGCACTGCTGTTTCCCTGCCATTCACTGCTCAGGGCTACCTACCAAGACAGCGCCAACTACTTTATCTGCCATTCAAGGTCTTCGTTTGCTCTCAGCTTACCCTTCCAGGGTTTCTTATGTAAGCATCTTCCAAAGAATCTATGTGTCATTCCCCAGACTCATCCTGCTCTTCCTACGGCCACACCTTTGTGTCCTGGGGCCCTGGAATGATGGGAGGAGGCTGCAAAAGCAGATGCCCACATTCATTCTGGATTATAGGCTAACGTACAAAACGTTTTTAATTTTAAAACTTTTAAGTAAATTTTTTTTTCTAAAAAGGAGGCAGAAGGCCTGTCATAGTCAGGTTTATTGTGCCAACTAGGCCAATAGGTACATGTATGTGGAGTGTAATCGGGTCGCAGCTTGATTGGAGGGCAACGAGATACATGGCTTTCCAAGGCCTGCCCCCTTCTCTTTTCCTCCCTGCTGCTTGAGCTGTTCTTTGCCTCAGCCGTGTGCTGCACTACCTGTGGGCCGAGCCAACCCATGGATCACGCTGCTAGAGCTTGCGGCTCCTTCGAGGCCTGGTTTGCCATGCTGCTGGCACATACGCTGCTTGAGCCTGAGGCTGGTGGATCCTGTCGCCATGCATCGCAATCCAGTTTCCCTGGGGCCTGCTTCGCTAGGCTCCCGTGCTACTGACTGTTGCTCATCCACACCACTGCCACTCTGCCTGTCTTGCCTGAGGGAAGATTCCATTGTCTGCTTCCTTGACCTTGGATTGGCAGCTTGAGTGAATTGAAGGACTTTCTGTAGATTAACTGTTCTACAAAAGTGAGTTGAACTGAACCATCTGTGGACTAATTAGCTGTCATAGTCCTTCTTGCTGTATAAACCTATCCATATATATATATATATGGATATATATATATATGGACTAATTAGCTGTCATAGTCCTTCTTGCTATATAAACCTATTCATATATATATATATCATAAGTGTCCTGGTTTTGTTTTTCTGGAGAACCCTGCCTAGCCTAGGCCAAATATGTTTGGGAACCTATTATACCATTCCATGCCCAGCTGCACACCCCCACCCCCACTCTTTTCTATCTTCCCAAATTCTTCCCTTTTTCAAGGCTCAGTTCCAATGCCGTGTTCTCATTGAACCTGTCCTTGCTCCCTCCTGTTCAAACAGTATCTCCCCTCTCTGAACTCACAGAGAAAGGGAAGGAAGGGACACCTGCAACACCTGCCATGTGCTGCCTGTTCAGACAGGTGCTCCGGCAGAGAGATCTTTGAATCAAGTGGGCTGGGCAAACTTGGAAAGGGCACTTTAGTGGATTGAATTATGCCCCGACCCCCAAATCTAGGTTCATGTTTTAGAACCTGTGAAAGTAATGTTATTTGGAAAATGGTGTGTGCAGATGTAATTAGGAGAGATCCGCCCCTGGAAAAGGACATCATGTATGGTAAAGCAGAGGGACAGTGAAATAGGGGAAGCCCTTCGGTGAGATGGATTGACATCATAGCTCTAATCATGGGCTTAAACAACAATACTGGTGAAGACGGTGCTGGGCCGGGCAGCATCCCGTTGTGCTGTACACAGGGCTGCTGGGTCAGAACCAACCTGGAGCCCAAGAAGCAACAAGATGTTATGAAGTTAAGGATCTCCAGAGGGGCTCATCCTGGATTATCCAGGCAGGTCCTCAAGCCAATGACAGTGTCCTGATAAAAGACACACAGAGGGGAGACCCTGGGAGAAGGGGAGAAGCTGTGTGAAGGGGGAGACAAGACTGGAGTTATGCACACACTAGCTAGGTCAGGCTCGGACCTACCAGAACTAGATGGGACCAGGAGGCCAGATGGCCCTTGGAACATCTGGAGGGAGCTCGGCCCTGCTGATGTCTTGCCTTCAGACTCCTCATCTCCAGAAATGTGAGGGAACAAATACCGTGGTTTCAAGCTGCTAAGGTTTGTCGCGATTCCTTACAGCCACCCTGTCACTTACAGCCATCGAATTGTTGCTGACTCGTCGTGACCCCTTCTGGGTTTCTGTGACTGTCACTGCTCATGAGAGTAGAGAGCCCAGTCTCTCTCCGGAGGAGCGGCTGGTGGTTTTGAACTGCTGACTATGTGGATCACAGCCCAATCCGTAACCACTACACCACCACGGCTCCCTTAAAGTCACCCTAGAAGTTAAGAGAGGTACGTAACCTCTCGGTGCTTCATGGTTTTATCTCAAAAACACCCCAAAATCCTACCTCCATCATTCATTTGAGCAGTCAGACACCTGCCAAGTGCCAGCTCTGGACTCGTGAGGTGATTCTGAGGCCTGAGTGAAATGATGCACAGCAAGGGGCTGGCACGTAGTCAAAGAAACCATCTTCATACTGCTGCTAACCCAATGAGCTCCCTGGAAGAATGAAGCCATTCCTTAGGGTGTCTCTGTTAAGAGGGAGCTACCGTGAATGACTGGGATCTAAAGCCGCTCTGGACCCGGGCAGACTCCAACAACTGTTAAAGCACAGAATAGGACAATTGTTGCTCAGGAACCTGCTGGTCAGTACTGAGGCTGCATCTTTGGCCTCCTGCGGCTCTCCAGGGCCCTCAACCACAAGGCTCTTTGCGACCAAGAGAAAGCCCCAACCCTCTGAGGAGTCCCTGGGTGGTACAAAGGGCTAATGTGCTCAGTTGCTCATCAAAAGGTTGGAGGTTCAAGTCTACCCAGAGACATCAGAAGAAAGTTCTGGCAAACCACTTCTGAAAAAAACTCAGTCACTGAGAACCCAGTGGAGCACAGTTCTATCCCCAACACAACTTGGGGTGCCAAGAATGGGAGATCGACTCTCCTTCCGGGCCCTGGAGCAGCAGCTTCCCTTACCTTCATACTGCACTTCCAGGTGCATCGTGCGCAGCACCTTCAGCACGCAGTCCACGATGCTGGGGTGTGTGGCTCCGATGATCGACTGACAGGACAGACAACAGAATGAGGTGGTTACTCTGCAGGCTGGGTCTGGAAGGATAGAAAAACAGGCTTCCCGACAGCTGGGGGCCTGGAAGGGTGGAGGAAGGGAGCTCGGTGGTGGGTCACTGGTCTTGGCCCCACAACCCCTTTCTTCTAGAAAGGAGGGCCAGTGATGGGCAGTTTGAACGGCCCTGTGCGGTTCCCAGGCTGTACCCTCTACTGGAGCAGACTGGAACATGCTTTCCTCCTACATAACCTCTAGTTCACTGACCTTTTCATTAGCAGCTGAGCGCTTAACCATTGTGCCACGGCGGCTCCTGCTTCTCCTCTATGGCCTTAATACCTTCTCTTCCTCAGGAACCTCACCCAACCAGTCGGTCCCTCGTTCCTGCCTGTTCTAACTCTGTCCATGCATTGGTTCCTCTCCTTTAGCATCGGGTAAGCGTTAGACTGCTAACTACAAGGTTGGCAGTTCAAACCTACCAGCTGTACGATGAAAGACAGATGAGGCTGTCTGCTCTGCTAATGGCTGACAGTCCGGACAACCCTTTCAAGGGTTGCTATGAGATGGAACGGCAGTGGCAGCGGGTTTGGTTTAGGGTTGGAAGCTCACCCATGTTAAGTGGACCTGTCCCTCTCCTGGCTTTCCTGCTTGCTCCTCGTTGCCTCTCGTCCCCTTTACACCTAAACGTCCACTCTTCATTCCCTGTTCCTTCTCGGACAGGCGGCTGCAATTTACCTCTTCCTGCTAAGGGACACCAGTCCCTAATTCACCCAAACTTCTTCTGCTGCTGTCCTTCCGTCCTTCCCGTCAGTAATCTCTGTTGCAGCTGACCCGGCGGATCACATACTTCTTAGGCAAACACTCGCCCCTTGACTCTCACCACCTCATTCACCCCTGCTTCCCTTCCACTGCTTTTAGCGCTCTTTTTCTAAAGAGGCAGTGGGTGACGTGGGAAGAACCGAGACTTTGGAGTTAGATGGATTTGGATTTAAATGCCCACTTTGTAAATAGCTTTTACTCAGCGTGTGGCTTTAGATAAGTCATTTAGCACCACCATGAGGCCCCGTTCCATCGTCTTTACGAGGAGAGTCCTATTGCCTCCCTCAGTGTGCAAAGACGGAATGGAATAAGGCAAGCAAGCCCCTGGCTGGCACCACTTCGCCATGGGGCCTTGTGGCAATAATGATGTGAATAGTGTCTGGTATGCAGCATCTTCTTCCTCAGCCTGTCTCTTAAATATTGGAGGTGTTCCTGACTTCTACCTAGGCCTCCCTTCTTGTCTTACTGGCACCTTCTACCTGGGACCCTCTTCTGTGGCCTTCGTAAGCCCTGAAATCCAAACGGACTTTCATGAACCTCAAACTGAAATCTCCATTTTGGGCTTCTCTACGGGGCTTCCCACCTCTCCTTTCTCCTTCCTAACGGGCGTGCAGCTACTGCCCTGCACAGTGAGTCTAACAGCTAGTGAGGAGGGAGAAGCATTTGGGGAATTTAAAAGAAAAAAAAAATTAGTTAATATTACCACCTCGGAGTTGTTAACGCGGAGAGGGAAGCTCAAGAATCAGTGTTTGTTGTTGTTTGTTTGTAAACGCGTGATCCAACGTTCTCTCTGTGGCCACTTGGTGTGTTCCTCAGATGGGCATTTGGGAACCACCAGGGCCCTCCACTTTACCGGGTCAACACCTAGCTTCTTCCCTTTAATCCTGCTCCCTCTGGAGGGCAGCGCCACTCACCAGCCGTCTCCTCTGACACCTTTGGCCTTACAACCTCTGTCCCACACAGCGTGCCTCAGAACCAGCCGTCCCCCCTGCATCCCCTCTCCGCTCACTGCCACAGCTCAGGCACTTGTCCCCCTGCTCCCGCCCGTCCTGGGGAGCCGCTCTGGGAACTTTTGACGGTTCATCTAGAAACCGCTTTCAGGATCTTTATCCCCCCTACGCCTTACTCCTCACAGTGTCTCCACGAGGTCACCATGCTCCGAACCCACTCCCCTCACCTTCCAGGGCCCTGGAAAGAGCTGGCAGCAACTAGCAAAGGGGCGCTTTCCCCAGCACTGGACCTGGGCCTCGGCCTGCTGTGCCATCCACACGCCCCCGTGAGTCTTTCCCCATCAAATCAACTCCAACTCCGTCAGTCCTTGCTACAGCCCTTTCATCATCCTGGTTGCTTGTCTCAACCACGTTTAAGTCTGCCAACATTCTCCGGATCTCTAAGGAAACAGAGCAAATCCCTCTGCTGGGAGACTTGAACTCTGGGCCCTGCAGCAGGGGCGGGCTCGGCTCGGAGTCTCCTGCTGGTGGAGTGACTGCAGCTGAACCGCAGAGCCACAGGAGCGTGTGAGCCGGCTCACCTGGGCAGTCCTGAGAGTCTGCAGGGACAGCTGCTGAGCTTTGGGGGACGTGCAGGGCAGTAACGCGATCAGACCTTTGTACACTTGATTCTGGTACTTAGGGTTACCATGGACCAAAGCATCCAACAAGACCTGCACTTCCTCTTGGGTCTCTTCTGACTTAGACTTGGCCAAATATTCTGCTATGGATCGGACACCTGCGCAAAGAACAGAAGAAAAGCTAACCGGGAAGAGATTCATGACAACCATCCTCACTCAAGATTACGTCAAACAAACAGGACTGACATCTAGTCAGCCGAGGTGCTCAGGCAAAGCAAGATGGGCACTCAGCTCCCACTGCCCTCTCATTTTCTCTTTGGCCATGTTGTCGGCGCATCTTGTTTTGGCCTAGCTGTGCCAAAATCTGCGTTTCAAAGTGGCCGAGGCAACATGTATAAAATAGAATAGACTCAAGGCAGCATTTTTTGTTTGTTTATATGGTAACTAACACGTATACAACCATTAGCAGTTTATAAATTATTTCCACACCCGATTTAACCCTAGAAACCACACTGAGAGAAGGTGCTAGTCTCACTTTACAGCTAAAGGCGCTACAGCTACGAGAGGTCCCGGGGGAGGCAGAGATGAGAACCTGGAGGGAAGGGTGGAGCCCACGACGCAGGCGGACGGCACCTCCTTTTCTTGCCTCCATGACACCATTTGTTAGATTGTACTGGATCGTTTATCTTTCTCACCAGACGGTGAGCTTTTCGAGCCAGGGCTTGTCTTCTACTTATTGATGTATCCCTTGCACGTTCGCATGTTCTAAAATACTATGGGTATTCAGTCATTGCAGTTTAATTTTATTTCTAGAATTATTCATACTTTACCTAATTCCACAAAGGATTCAGGCAACTACATACTTGATAACCCCTTGTTGAATGAGTGCCTGGAAAGGATGTACTCAAAACGACCACTGAAGGCTACTCTGTGCTATGGTGGTCAGAAACTTAGACCACTCCCCAAAATCATACACAGGTATTCTCGTGGTAACGTAGGCAGGAACTGATAAGAGCCTACTGTACAAAATATTCCCTGTGCACCAAGTTCCCAAGTGCATTTTCTTATAGAAGCGGGGCGTGCTACCGCCTCTGACCGACGCCCCTAAGGAGAAGTGGGTCTCACCACGTGGCCACACAGTACCCACCATAACTTTCACAAATGAGCTCCTTGTACTTCCTCCCAGAGTTTGCAATAAGCTGAAGTAACTTGATGGATGCCTTCTTGTCCTTCTCCTGGATCTTCTCCAGGGCAAGTATTTCCAAGAGTGTTAGGACCCCTCCAACTTCCAGGAATTCTATAAGGTACCGGTTACTATCCAGAAGGGACAGAGGAGAAAAATAAAACACTTATCACGTCCGTTGGTATTAACCTTTCTAAGGGATCTTGGTGACCTTGCTGCATATTTTTCCCTCCTTCCCGGGAAAATCTCTTTATAAAACGACAAAGTAGTGTGAGAATTCTCCCCTTCAGTAAGAAATGCAAAAGGTAAGAAGTACATGGACACCCGTTTTGGGATTTTCTAGCATCTGTCTCATTTTAAAAGCACCCCAACTGTCCATAGCAGAATCACCCATTTACCATTCATGGACCATGTGGTTTTGGTGATAGGGTATGTGATGCTCCTGACTGCAGTCACTGGTTGGGAATCAGGTATGAGACCTAACTGGGTCCAGTGAGGGTCAAAACTCCGGACTTCGTGTGTGTGTGTGTGTGTGTGTGTGTGTGTGTGTGTGTGTGTAGCTCTTGGGAAAGAGGTGTTTTCTTGTGGAGTGGCTGAGCTCTGACTACTTTTGGAGTGGTCTAAGTTTCTGACCACCATAGCACACAGCAGCCTATGGATACAGAGAACAGAGCAGAATTGAGGATGGAAAAAAAAAAACACCCCCCAAACCAGAGAGGGATAGGAAGACTAAGTCCGGATGATGTTGATCCTGGGATCTAGTTAGGCCTGCCATAGAGAATTCCAACATCTGGGTTTTTCAGTTAAGTAAAATTTCCCCTTTGTCCTTTGTCTATAGGACCTGGTCTTCAGTACGTTGCAACCAGGGAGATCCTGGTTGTGTCATGTGTGCACGGAGAACATGGGACAGGGAGCAAGAGCAGGGCTGTGGCTGCCTTCTACCTCTGGGCCCATCCCGAGGGCTCCGGAACGCCCACCAATGGCTAGACGTCATGGTCCCACGTGGGCCCTGTGAACACAGTTCACCACTGAACCCTGCAGTCTCTCTGGAGCAGACCCGGTGCTCACCTGCTCACTGCCGACAAGAAGATGCCGATGGACTTGAGCACCTTATCCAGACAGCAGCCAGTCATGTAGCTGCACGGCAGGTTAAAGAGTGAGTCTCAGGGTGGTTTTCAGCAAAGAAGCCAGGTCCCGTGCCTGATCCCATGCAGCAGCCACTGCCCAGGAGGACCAAGCAGCTAGAGGGGCCACACAGAGCAGAGAGAAGGGCGTGCTGGGAGGCTGCTGATATCTTTCCTGGAAGCTCTCTCTGGGTGGATCAGCCACTGTGGCTCTGACAGGCTCCCCAGGGAGCAGGGAGGCGCTGATCAACAAAAGGTGCATGGAGAAACCTTGGGGTCATTCTACCAGGTGTTTCTGAGCCATGGCCACCACACCCTTGGGGCTCAGCACAGCCTATCACTTCTCTAAAAACGAATCAGCTTCATCATTAATTCTCAATTTTGTACTTGGTCAAAAATTTACACTGGAGGTCACTCACTATCTTTATGAAGAACTGCAATAAGAATAACAGGAGATGGTGGAAAAATTAAACTCTGATTTAAAACAACTTCAGTATTTAATGTTATTTTTTAATGTGAGCCTTGGCAAAAAGCTTCATTGTAATAAAGCACCCAGAGCACGCATCAGCTCGGATACAAGGTATGAAATCAAGCCACAACAGAAAAGGAACCAGTCAACAATTACTAGGCTCATAACACATCACAGGCTCTTAGAACACTTAAGAAATTAGCTGAAATTATTGCAACTCATGGAGGATGACTGAGAGCTTCCAAGACTGATCAAGGCTAATGTAATGGGTTGGAGGTAATGGTGCTTTGTTGGGGGGCACGGGTGGGAGGGGGAGGCAGGCATGAGGCAAATTATCTCTGCTGCACCCTGGTTCCCAGGATGCCAATAGAAGTAAAGACAGATTGGCTCATTAGGAAAGGCTCTTTACTGCAAAACCAGTGTCTGCTCTGCAGCCAGGCTCCCTGCCTGTTGCGGCTACCAACCCACATTGTATTTTTTCCCTTCCTACACTGTGCCCACTCCACCCCACAGCCCCCACGCTGTCTCAATACGTTCCCCCTTTTCTTCCGTTACCAGCTGGGCTAACCAAACTGTGTTACCGTCTTTCCTGTCTCAGGTTAGCCTTGCTTGCATGGGTCTGTTGAGTGCGATTGAACTGATTCCAATTCATAGCGACCCTCTATGCTAAAGTAGAAATACCTCGTAGGGTTTTCTGGGCAGAAGAGCCCAGGTGGTGTAGTGGATTGTGAGGGTGTCATGGATTGGGCTGCTAACCACAAGGTCAGAAGTTCAAACCCACGAGTCGCTCTGTGGGAAAGATGAGGTTTTCTACTTCTGTAAAGAGTTGCAGTGTCAGGAGAGAAAGGGGGGGGGGAAGGACTCAAATAGAAAGTGTTTTGAAAATGGTGATGGCAACAAATGTACAAATATGCTTGACACAATGGATGGATGGATGGATTGCGATAAGAGTTGTAGGAGCTTCCAATAAAATTATTATTTTTAAAAGTCTGCCACTTTCTAGTCTCAGAAACCCATAGGGACAGTTCTCCTCTGTCCGAGAGGGTCTCTGAGTAGGAATCGGCTCAGGGGCAGGCAGTTTGGTGTTTTGGTGTGGAGTACTAACAGAGTATCTGGCCAGGTCTGTTTGCCAAAGGAACATCTGGTGGGTTGGGGCCACCGACCTTTCAGTTAGCCGCTTAGCTCCTCCTCATGGTGCCACCGGGGCTCCTTCTTGTGCCGACGGCCACTCATTGCATGAGGGGGCTTCACAACGTTTATGGAAAAACGGAATTAAAAGACAATGGAATTTCCCCATAAGCTCCTTGAAGCCTCCTCATAGATTTCTGGCCCATTAGTTCTCCAATTAAAAGGTTGATCAGCGGCTACAAGTTGTGTGCCAGGCACTGTGCTCACTGCTTGGCTTTCGTTGCCACCCTTCCTTCTCGAGTCAGCCCTGCAGCAGGTGCTGCTCGCATTTCCATTTGCCACGCGAGCGAGCAAGCACAGGCGATGGCTTGTCCAAGGTCCCAAAGTCAATGCATGGATCCATCCTGCCTCTTGCTCAATGGAGGGAGTAGGGCCATTGGTGTGGATTGCCTGCTGCCGTCGTGTGGAATGTGAAACTGTGGCTCTGGGCTGTCCACTGGGGGGCGGGGCGGGTGAAGACGATGAGGACAGTAGAGGGCGGATGGGTTTTGGTCATTCAGTTGCTATTGAGTCCATTCTAACTCATGGAGACCGCTCTGTTTTCAGAAGAGAAATGTACACACTGTGGGGTTTGTAATGGCTGTCACCTTTTGGAAGATCGCCAGGGCTTTCTTTGGGCACACCTGGGTGGATTGGAACCACCAACCTCCCAGTTAGTAGTTGAATATTATGTCACCCAAGGAGCTCTGGTGATGCAGTGTTACAAGTTGGGCTGTGATTCACATGGTCAGCCGTTCAAAACCACAAGCAGCTCCTCTGGAGAAAGACTGGGCTTTCTACTCCTGCAAACAGTGGGTCACTATGAGTCGCACTGACTCGATGGAAGTGAGTCTGGTTTTCTCGGTTGGTGCCACCCAGGGGTCCTGGGTCAGACAGACCCATGTTTAAGCTTTATTTCTGCCATGTTCTACTAAATTACTCAAACGTTTCCAGGCTTACCTTTCTTATTGATAAAACAAGATAAGCCAATCACTTATTCAATTTAGTATGAGGTGAAAATGAGAACATTTGTATAGAACATAGTTCATCAACTAAAACATTAAAAAGATTCAACAAGTGCTAACCAATCATTTTGTCATTATAGTATATAAATCTGTTTTACTGTTTTACTAAAAGGTCAAGTCTAAAATAAAGGGTTAGAGACTTATGTGGGATTATATGATTGTCAATTTTCTGCATGCTATCCACATGCAGGAAATGAAACAGGATCCTTGTCTCACACCATACACAAAAACAAATTCAACATGGATTAAGGACCTAAATGTGCAAACTACAAACACAAAAACCTTAGAAGAACAAACAGGCAGTAACTCCAGGTCTAGCTTTGAACAATGTATTATCTAATAAATAACAAAAGCATAAAGAGCAGAAGACAAAATACAACACTGAGACCTTATAAAAATTATTAAAAACTTTTGTTTATCAAGACTTTATCAAAAAAGTGAAAGGACAAGGCATTAACTGGGAGAATATCTTAGGGAACCATATATTTGGCAAGAATCTATTAGCTAAAATGTATGTAAAACCTCAGCAACTTAATAACCAAAGACAAATAATTCAGTAATGTGTACATTCAGATGGCCACCAAGTCCACGAAAAGATGCTCCACGTCATTAGCTGAGAGAGACACAAATCAAACACACTGTGAGATGCCCTTAAACTCACACCAGAGTGGCTAACATAGAAACAACCACCACAACAGAACACACAAACTCACCAATGTTGTTGATGCGGGCCACTGGAAGCCTGATCCAGCACTGGTGGAAATGCAAAATCATACAGCTGCTGTAGAAAACGGGTGTGTGTGCTGGTGGGGGCGGGGGGCCCTCAAAAAATGAAAACTGGGACTTAGCAGTTCTGCTCCTCACTACATCCTCCCCAGACTTGCACAACTGTCCACAGAAGCCCTACTCACAATAGCTAAAAGGTGGAAACCACCTGAATGCCCGTGAACAGAGTGAACAGAATGTGGTGCAGACATCCAATGGGGTACTACTTAGCCAGTCGGAGAAATGAAGCCTTGAGACATGCTGTGGTATGCATGGAATTTGATGGCAGTAGCTGAGTAAACTAAGCCATTCACAAAAGGACATAGTCTGTATGACCTCGCTTACAGAAAACAAAAACCAAAACCAAAAAGGTAAATGAGCGGAGACAGAAGTTTTTTTGTAGTTACCAGGAGTGAAAGGAAGAAAGAAAACGGGGTTAACAGTTGTGGAAAATTCACCCTGATTAAAGGTTGGGTTGCTATGGTGAAGTTGGTATGATTTTCCTCACCACCAAACAAACCAAGCTCACTGCCATCGAGTCCATTTTGGCTCACAGTGGGTAATGCATTGTGCTGCTAACTGCAAGGTCAGCAGTTTGAAACCACCAGCTTCTCCCTAGGAGAAAAACAAGGCTTTCTACTCCTATAAAGAGTTACAGCCCTGGAAACCTAAAGGGACAGCTCTACTCTGTCCTGCAGGATCACTATGAATTTCTCTCCAGTCTTTGTAATTCCCACCAAAATGACTGGTGAGAGGAGCATGCAAATAAGACACAGAAGACTCTAACTTGGAGATTGGTCAGTTTTGCTAGGGTTAAAGTGAGCCATTTCAGGGGCAGAACAAGAGAATCCCCTGACCATCACGAGAGAAGAACCACCGGTAATACCAGTGGAACACGTGCAAAGTGGTGAAGTGTGACGGGTGCGTGGTGCCTGTAGCGCCAGAGGCCACAGCACTGAGACCACGAGACAGAGCACAGCCTTCACAGCCCCCCAAAAGAATAAAGCTGAATGCCTTCTGGCAGGAAACTGGCTTGTAGAGTGGGGTACCCTTTGGGCATTTATCAGTGCTGAAGGAGCTTTGTAAAACTTAGCTTGCCTTCCCAAGGTAGAGGCCAAGAGGCCAGGTGGCTGAGGACCAGAGAGAGTCATGTCTGCCAGCTGAGGCAAGGTGCTGTGTACAAAGGGGACTGTATCCTTGATGCTTTTTCCTTCCGACTTGTAACCTGCTAAATTCCCTAATACAGCTCATGAGTATTGTCTGCAAGTTCTGTGTGGCTACCAGTTTGTTTGCACACATGCTAGGTTTTGAGGTATCTGTGCTCAAGAGCCACAAAAGGCAGGTCTGGGCTGAAGACAGATTTGGCAGTCATCAAGGTGGTCGTTCAAGTTGCAGATAGGTTTGAGAATACTCCTGTTCTGCGTTGCTCATTGAACTCAGCAGAGAAGCAGAGTGCTTTGGGAGGGATGGCTGGTGTCAGAATAGGCAGAGAAGGATGCAGAGTGGGGCATGCCTCTGCCTTACAGGACGCACCCTTGGGCAGATGTGGAGTAGGGTTCTCCTTCCCCCTGGTGCAGACAGAGGAGGTCAGATGTGGGCCCCATGACATTTCTTCAGTTGCACAACTACTGTAACCTTCAAAAAGTTGTACATGTGCAAATTTCTGTGATAGATAGATGAGGGCATAGCCCCCCCCTCAAATGGATTTTTTCTTTCTTTTTCTTTTCAAAGCTATGTATGTAATTTTTTTTTTTTTTTACAAAATAACCTTATCATCTACAAAGTATGTTCCGAGACATTTAATAGATTTGTCAAATCTTCAATTCCATTCTTGGAACCATTTTTCGAACTCATCTGTTTGGATTGCTGACAGCACCTCCCTCCTTTTTTTCCTTTGCCTCTTTTTTGTCATCAAATCACTGTCCTTTCATGTCCCTCTTCACTTGAGGAAAAAAAAAGAAGTCCTACAGAGAGAAGTCAGGTGAGTAAGGTGTGTGGGGTAAGAGAAGCATGCTGTTTTTTGCCCCAAACTGGCACACTGAGACGGTTGCGTGAGCAGGTGCATTATGCTCCTGTCCCCTGTCTGCCACAAATCAGGTCTTTTTTATCACACACCATTACACAATCTTTTCAGAACCTCTAAATGGAATGCTTGATTAACAGTATGACCTAGTAGAACGAACTCTAAATGCATGACAAATCAACATTTTTGTCTGTTGGGGAAGTTGATGAATGTCCAGAATGAGGTTTGTCACAATTGACATTTCACCTTTTTTTGAAACCAGAAATTCACTTGAGTTTTTCCCCTAGTGCTGTCCTTGTAAGCTGTGCTCAACATCACCAGTTTCTGTAGCTTTCTCCCCCGTATCCCCTCCATCACCTAAGAAGGAAACAAAACTTCACAGCTGCATGCTGTTTTCATTAAATGACCAACACAAAATACGAGGCTCGAGAGAAAGTACTTTTATGAAAAAAGTCACTGTGACTAGAGAGAGCCTTCCCAGGCAATGCCGCTGGGTGCACTAACTCGGAGTGAGTTGCTCGATGCTCGCCTAGTGGGAAAAATGTGTACGATGCAAGCTCTGCCCAGTGGAGCTTTTTTCCATTTGGGGGGGGGGGTACCTCTTGTATTTGCAATAACAGCAAAGAGAAAAGCAGATGCTGGCCCATTTATGTGCAACCCAATACCTCATGGAAGTTGATTTCTTGGTTTGGAGGCTGAGGGTCATAGCTCCATGGAGACCACAGTGAATTGGCCCAATAACGTGTCTCGTGCTTCTGCTGTCTGGGGTTTGTTGTGCAGTGCTCGGGGTGTTAAGAGGGGCCCTCCAAGCGACAACAGTCGGAGTCTATTCAGCTGGAACAGCAGGGGAAGGAGGAGAGTCAGGAAAAGGAGCTCAGGGAATGTGTGGCTGATTGCCTCGATGAATAACTGCCTTCTTTGCCCAAGAGACGAGACACACTGGATGCCCGGATGGTGCTCGACTACCATCACTGAACATTTTGATCAGAGAGCCCACAGAACAGAGCCGATCAAAGGGAGGAAATGCAGAACGCAATTTCACATTCTCAAGGACTGCATGGAGCCATGGAGAGTGGATGAATCCTTGAAATGTGGCTCTGGGATAAACTTTAAATCTTAAAGATATCCCCCGAAGTCCTCCTAAAACCAAGCAATAGTTTACTTCAACTAGTAAAAGAGTTCAACCTAAAGTATCACACTCTTCGAAGAACTACCTCTATGGGATCAAGTTGACACCACCGCTCAAGAGGACTCTCAGAGTGGCACCCTCACCTGAATGTCTGTTTAGAATCTGAGTTCTCTACCCAGGTGTCCAATACCTCCTGCTTTTCTGTCCCACACGATGATGCTCACACTTCGGCCTGAGAAACTGCAGCAGCAGAGAACACAGGAGGAGGGACAGCCATGGGACAGACCACCTTGCTTGGAGACATGCTAGGCTTTAAGGTGTCTGTGGTCAAGAGCCACAGGAGGCAGGTCTGGGCTGAAGACAGATGTGGTAGCCATCAAGGTGACAGTGCAAGTAAGAGAGTACTCCTGCTCCGGGTGCTCACAGCACTCTGTGGATTCGTCTGGACCCTTTCATGACATGGGTTGCTCATTGCCTGAGCCCCTCCCCTCTTCGCACCCCGCCTCATTAGATTAGCTCCTCTCTTCATTATTCAGGTTTCCATTTAAGCAGTATTTTCTCAGGAAGCCCTTTGCTCCACCCTAGACTAGTGCTTCCATTGCCACAATAGTCATAACATTATTATCACCTGCTTACTGTCTTCCCCAGGGGCTTGCAAGCTCCACCAGAGCAGATATGGCATCTATTCTACTCCTTTCTGCATTTCTAGCTCCTAGCATAATGCCTACGTGAACATGTTTTTTAAAAGTATAATTATATATTTTGTAATTGTGGCAAAAATGCACACAATTCAACAACTTCTATATGTATAATTCAGTGCCATTGATTATACTCATGTTGTGCAACCATTACTTTTCCAAAGTATTCTACCACCATGAACATAAACTCAGCGCCCCCTAAGCAACAACTCTTCCTCCTTCACCCATGGTAACCATTGATCAACTTTGGTTTCTTTTCTTTAGTAGTTTTCTTGATATAAAATTCACATATCATATACTTCCATAGTTAAGTCACGTTGAAAAATAGTTGTATATACATCATCACAATCAGTTCTAGTGTTCCCCACCCTCCCGTATTTATTGTTTGCTCCCCAATTTCCCTCACCCTCCCCACCCCAACCGCCATTGGGGAAGTGGATGGACTTTGGGCCTCTGCTCAAGCCCTCCCTCAATTGAAGAACACTTTGTTCTAACAACCTGGCCTTCTGTGATGCTCATACTCCAACACAATCACTGAAGACAAAGCGGGTACATAAGCAAATGTGGTGAAAAAAGCTGATGGTGCCCAGCTATCAAAAGATAGAGCATCTGGAGTCTTAAAGGCTTGAAGTTAAACAAGCGGCCATCTAGCAGAGAAGCAATAAGTCCACATGGAAGCAGCACACCAGCCTGTGCGATCATGAGATGTCGATGGGATCAGGTAATGGGCATTAGAAGATTCAAAACAAACAAACAAACAAACAAACAAACATATTGTTGAGAACGAGGGTGGTTGGAGCAGAGAACCCTAACCCATCAGTAGACACTGGGACACGCCTCACAGAAGGGTCACAAGGAAGGGATAAGTCAGCCAGGGTGAAGTATAGCAATCAATGAAACACAATATTCCTTGAGGCTTCCTCACCCCTCAACTTTTATGGCCCAAATCCTGCCTTTTACTGCGGGTGAGACCGGAGCATGTACACAGGTTCAGATAAGAGCTCAGGACACACAGAATCCAGGTCAGATAAACCCCTCAGGAACAGAAATGGGAGTAGTAATACCAGAAGGGCAGGGGGAAGAGACCACAGGGGAGAAAACGGTTGGTGCAAGAAATAGAAACAATAATTTATAATTTACCAGGGGGTCTTGAGGGTGTGGGTGGGGGGAGGTAAAAAGAGGAGCTGATACCAAGGGCTCAAACAAAGTAAATGTTTAGGAAATAATGATGGCAACATATGTCCAAATATGCTTGATACAATTGATGTATAGATTATTATAAGAGCTGTAAGAGCCCCCAATAAAATGATCTTAAAAATAAAATACCCTCAAGAAGAGCTCCCTAAACAATCTTCTTGGGAAGATTGTCTAGTTTCCCCCCTCTTGCACCAAAGGATACGTGAGTCTCAGCCAAGTGGTCAGTCGTACCAGGAACAAGCTGGCTCCCTGGGAAAACTCCTGCTCCAATTCAGGGGCAGTCTTGCCTTGATTGGTTTGAATGAAACACTTGAGGATGTGATTCCTTGCGATTTTGCCAGCATTATCCCAATCCTGTAAAAAACTTAGGAGTCTGCTAATCGCTGCCTGCTCTTTTATGGAAGTCATGATCCAGTCGGTCCTGAAGTGGGCTGCGGAGGGAGAGGGAGAAGAGGGGTCACCACAGGTGACGTGAGGGGTTCTGCTTTCACTGGAGGGAGGGCAAGCCTCTGCCACCCGCACGGGGGAGTTGCATTCCGACGCAGCTCTAGGACTAGTTATCTGACGCTTGGCTAGGGACACCCGGGCCCTTTCATCGGGGACTCTGAGCCACCAGACAGCATCTCTTTTGTAAGAGTTACCATGTTGAGCCCTTGGGAGTCTCTGCTGACGTCCTAACAGAAAGCTGAGACAAAGCTCATCCCGCGCTGAGATGCGATGCATGCTACTCAACACATGGGTCTCTCTAATGCCTCACTTCACGTGGGCTCACAGCAGAGATTTGGGGTCTTGGCCCACTCTTAGGCCAATCAGAAAAGATAAATGTTCCTTCTCCTTGTACTTTTATACTCTCTTAAAAAAAATCAACTTTTATAAAAAGTTAGTGAGAAGAAAAAGTTCCCGTTCTCTAGCTGGATTAATGGGCTGTGGTTTGTAGGAGTCCATGTCCTTGGGAGAGTGTTTTCAGTGGGGGGAGGGAAGATTTAAAATAAACCCGTTTTCCAAAAATAGTTGTGATTGAAAGTGTTATTATCCATAACAAATGTTAGTGCTGATGGGAGAGAGGCATGTGCGATTCTTTTGTCTAACAGACAAGTGAAAGTCATATTTCACATTACCACGGGGTTTTCTGTGATTTACAGAATATTTGTGAGACATCGCTTGCAGGGGCCATGATTGATATGGGGAGAACAGCTTGCGTGTAGGGGAGATGCGTATTTCACGAAGACTGCTCCACATGAAATTTACAGTCCCGTAAAGTGCTTCTACATCTTCACCAGAGATCTAGTTAAAAGGACTTTACAGTCTGAAACATCCTAAAATTGATTCTAAATTAACGTTTCCTCACATGTATTTGAGATATTGATGGGACCCAGCTATCAGAATTTTATTAGGAAGCAATAACCGGAGGCATGCCGAGACAGACAGACATACACACCAACCTCCACGGCGCCCCAGAGGACACGGGATTTGTGCTCCCACGAAGGGCGTCTACGTAGCCGCAGGGATGGAGACAAACACGAAATCCCGCCAGCCTTAAAAACCAGGTGAATTACAGCGGGTCAACCTAAACACAGAAATGACCAAAATCCCTCAGAGGGTCATACATCAATCTCTGAATTGCAGCCATGAGTCTGAGCATAATTTTCCGGGGCCGTGACCACCTCCAACAGCCAAAGTGGCCGCAATAAAATAGGGATGAAGCGGCTGTTCTGGACCCCGAGGAAGAGGAGTTGAAGGACCATGCTGTAAGGCAGGGAAACATACCAGGCCTTTCCCCCGCCTCGGATGCATCTTTTCTAGGTCCCAAACTCCATGTGCTATCAGAGATGCCCCCAGCAGCCCCAGGCCACCCAGGGACCTTGCAGCAGGACTCTCCACACTGTGGCCCTTCAAGGCTTCTAAGAGCTCGGCTGTCTTCCGTCTTCTTGTGAAATGGGACAAGAACACCGACAGGTGCATCCTGTAAGTTTCAGCCATTGTCTTAGAGCAGTCAACATGCAGCCACGGAGGCCCATCTGCTGCTGCTCCACAGGGAGACGTGGAGATGCACACGGACCCTGGAGGGCCTCCAGATCTTAGGCAGAGTGGACAGAACGGAGGAGTCAGACTGGGCTCAGAGCCCAGCTCTGCTACTTGCTGTCTAGTTACAAGTCACTGAACAACAACATCGACCTCACACTCCCTCCATCCTCCAGTCTCATTCCAGAGAAGAGCCACTTTCAATTTTTTGCTATTTCTTGTGCTGTTTGTCTTATTTCTGAATATTGAGCTTATACCAATATTACTTGATTTATGGAATTCAGACATTATTTCTTATTCTCACAGTTGAGGCATTAACTCAGTGGTTCTCAACCTGTGGGTCGTGACCCCTTCGGGGGCGAATGACCCTTTCACAGGGGTCGCCCGATTCATAACAGTAGCCAAACTACAATTATGAAGTAGCAATGAAAATAATTTTCGTTGCGGGGGTCACCACCACATGAGGAACTGTATTAAAGGGTCGCAGCATGAGGAAGGTTGAGAACCACTGCATTGAATCCTGCACCGCTCTAAGCCTCATCCTCCTCTCCCCCACCCACTCTCACTGTGGAAGCCCTTGGTGGCACAAGTGATTAATGCACTCAGATTGGCCGCTAACCGAAAGCTTGAAGGTTCAAGTCCAGAGGTGTCTTGGAAGAAAGCCCCAGTGTGCTGCTTCCAGAAAATCAGCCAGTGAGAACCCTGTGGAGCACAGTTCTACTCTGACACTGTGGGGTTGCCGTGAGTCAGAACGGACTTGGCTGTAACTGATTTGATAATCATGATGTATAACAAACATATTATAACTAAAGCATGGATGGAGTGTTATATAAGAGCTGTAAGAGCCCCCAATAAAATGATCTTTTAATAAGAAAATAAATAAAACACTATATATAGAACACAGAAATATAGTTTGTTATTCATAATAATAATAGCAAACCACTATTACTTTTTGTCTCCTAGAACTTGGTTTAACCTGGAGTTAATAATTCCTCTCAAAAAAAAAACAAAACAAAAAAAATAATTCCTCTCTTTTGTCAGGAGCTAATTTCTAACCAGATAGCTGGCTGCCATCGAGTTCACGCCAACTCACGGTGGCTTTGACACACGCATGGCAAAAAGCAACACTGCCCGGCCTTGCATCATCTGCCATGACTGGTCCCATTGTCGGCAAATGTGCAACTCATCTCACTAAGGTCGCCCTCACCCTGCTGGTCCTTTACTTCCTCAAGCATCATGCTTTCCTTAAAGCTCTTGATCAATGGCCCAGAGCACGCAAGTCAGAGGATGCTCTGTTCTCACCAGCTAAGTTTTGGAAGTAGATCAGTAGGTCTTTCTAATCTGTTTTAGCATGGGAGCTTTGCTGAAACCAGTTCACCACAGGTGACCCTTGCTGGTCGTCTCCACTATCACAGCACCAGACAAGATCCAGGTGAATGGTATGTGCTCTTCCAAATGTTTCCAACACGCAGCATTAACGTTTCTAAATGTTCCATCTATAACTGCTCTTTCTCCATAGACTTACCTGCCTTTCTGCTCTGGTTTGGACTAGTTGCTCCCTAAATTTGCTACCTGAATGTTGCCTGGGATTTCCCTGGACCATTGTTCTCTGTTGGATTTCCAGAATCCCATCTCTTCCTCCTTGTTTCACTCCTACGATTTGTTGAAGCACACTCTCTACTAGCTTCCTAAGAAAGGAGAATTTTTGTGCGTGTCCTTCCAAGGCTGAAATATATCTTTTTTTCCTACCGTCTTATTGGATCGGCTGGGTATATAACTCTAAAACAAGTTTCCCTTAGGGTGAGCGTTTGTGTTGCTGTTGAGAAATGCGATACTATTCCGACTCCCATGCCTCTTTTTTCACTTGTGATGTGTTTAAAACGTGTGTGGCATGGCACGATGTGCCTTGTTGCAGGTCTCCCCCTCTCCCTCCATTTATCATTCAAGACCCTTGGTGGACACTTTCAATCGGGCACTTTGTCCTTCAGTGTCAGGGAAATGTTTTATTGTCAGACATGCAAAACAATTAGCCTCTTCAATGGGAACCCATACATACCACTGGAGGGGTTTATTATTTCACCTTTCCAGGTTGGGTGATTGGGTGGGAGTCATAGATGCTTGGCTGTGGTCAACCTGGCAGGGAGCTTGGGCAAGGGACTGAGGCTATCATAGTCCAGCATGCGGACCTGCCCTTCATCATTCAGTTTTCAGTTCTCCTCTCATCTTTGCCCTTCCAACTATGCCTGGGGTCCCTGAGAATGGTAGCCCCAGAGTTCAATTTCCTTTCTCCGTATGCTGCAAGAATGTTTAAAGTAGTTCTGTCATTGAGAAGACATCTGAGGTCGGGCGAAGTGCTCTGTACACAAACACCAGCCAATCCCGTGTGTTCGGCCTGCACCTCATTTATGACCTTCTGTAGGAAATCGTGTTGCAAGCACTAAGCTTCTTGGAGGTTAAACTGGGTGAACTGACTTGCTTCTTGTTGGCAATCTCCCTCTGTTGGCACGTCAGTGTGTAATTTCCTCTGCTTCAAGACAATTACTAACCCCCACCTGCCTCTACCTTCCACATATTTGAACTCTCTCAACTGCTATTGTCTCCGTTCCCAGTCCCTGACCGTTTGAGGCTGCCGCTGAACTTCTGTGAATTAATATATCTTATATTTCTTTGGTGTTATGCTAGTGAGGGTTTGAGAGGTTGAGGGGGAAGTAAAGGGCAGTAGTAAACCATCCACATTTAATCAAGAGTCTCTAGCCACGCATTATTTACTTATTTTTTTATCTCAGTATTTCTTCTAAATAAGATTTAATGAGGGCTACAAAAGAAAGAAGAATTTTAAGAATAATGGGCCGATTCAAAGACTCAGCTGCTGGACTAATGCTGGGCCTGAAGGGTCAGGATTAGTCTCAGCAGACACTGAGGTCAATTGCCACAACAGTTCACAAAGGCAGTGTCCCAGGGCCTACTTCTGTGAGTAGTGAGTGAGTCCGAAAAGCTCATGAGCAGCCATCTAAGGTGCAACTATTGGTCTTTCCCCATCTGGAGGAAAGAAGAGTGATGAAAACCAAAAGACACGGAAACAATTAGCCCAGTGGATGAATGGACCACGATGAAAACATCTCCCCAACTCTGAGACCCGAAGAACTAGATGGTGCCCAGCTATCATTACCTCAACTACTTTTAAAAGGATGGCATTTGAAGGCCCTGCATAGAATGGGGGGAATATGTGGAACAGAATCCAAAGTCATACAAGGAAACAACTTACTAGTCAGATAGAGAGTTGTGAGACCAATAGAGAGTAGTGAGACACTACCGCCCCCCCCAAGACTACAGACACCCTCCAGGTCTGCAACTGAACTAATCGCTGTGTTGGAACACTCAATCACTTAAGATCAAAGGGCAGCATTTACCCAAGGACAAGGTTGAGAGGGCTAGGAAAGAAGCGGGAGGGGAACAGGAAACACTCGGAGGAAAATGGTACCCTGAAGGGATTGAAACAGATGCGTTGGGTCAGAATGTGTGCGAACTGTTGAATGTAAAACTGATGAGCTGCTCTGTAGGCCTTCACCTAATTCACAATAAAAAGTGGGAAAAAAAGTTGCTGGGATAAATTCTGTAAACTTCTTGGCATTAAGGTAAGAGGGGAAATAGGTATCTTTCATGGTGAAAGGTGTACGGAAGAAATAATGGTGGGCAAAGAAAGTAATATTTTTGGAACATTTTTCCTAAAGGTAATGGGGATAACCTGCAGAGCTAATCAAGGAAACACACACACACACACACACACACACACACACACAGATATGTATATAGAATGGCACATATATGGAATGTCACCTCAAAGCAGAGACCACCAAAAGATGTTTATTTGTGTTTTATTGACTATGCAAAGATATTTGACTGCATGGATCATAACAATTTGTGGGTAACACTGACAAGACTGGGATTTCCAGGCCAGTTAGTTACTGTGCTCATGTAGAGCTTGTACATAGACCAAGAGGCAGTTGTTCAAACAGAACAAGAGAACACTCAGTTTAAAATCAGGAGAGGTATGCATCAGGGCTGTATCCTTTCACCATAGGTATTGAGTTGTATGCTACACAAATAATCCAAGAAGTTGGACTATCTGAAGAACAGCAGGCATTATGGTTGGAGGAAGACTCGTTAACATGTGATATGCAGATGACACGACCTCATTTGCTGAAAGCAGGAGGATTTGAGGCACTAGCTGATGAATATCAAACACTGAAGTCTTCAGTATGTCTTGCACGCAGTGTAAAGAAAACAAAAGTCCTTATAATTATAACTGGACCAACAGATAACAACAGGATAATGAAGAAAAGATGAACGTTTCGAGGATTTCATTTTTTTCCAGCTCCACAATCAGTGCTCATGGAAGCAGCAGTCAAGAAATTACATGACTCATTACACTGAGCCAATCTGCTTCACAAGACCTCTTTAAATTGTTAAAGGGCAAAAACATTACTTTGAGGGCTAAGGTGTGTCTGACTTACACTGCGGTGTTTTTAATAGCCACAAATGCAC